ATTGGCACTAGTGCACTGAATATTAAAATTTTGGTTTTGTTCTGGTTTTTTGTCTAAACATCATCATCATCATCATCATGTCTGCTCTTCTTCGTGCCTACCACAACGCCCTCGTCAAGAGGCCTATTCTCACGCAGTGTCTCACTTTTGGTACGTTGTGTCTTGTTTGGTAATTCTAAATAAAAATAATTTTGCTTTTCGGGTTAAATAAGGCACCCTTGGCGTCACCGGCGACGTGATTACCCAGACGCTCATTGAGAAGCAGCCAGTGTACAACTTCAAACGGACAGCCAAGTTTGGTTTTCTTAGCCTTTGCTATGTGGTAAGTAGTGATGATTATTATTATTTGGCTGTTTGGTTATTCACACTTGATAAATTGTACAATAAACTAGGGCCCAGCAATTGCACTTTGGCTGCGTTTTCTTGAACGCCCTTTTGGCGCACGAAAGCTGTTGCTCAAGCCCTGGCAGAAAGTGATCATTGATCAGGTAACCTTTTTTGCTTATCTTAACACAAAAAAATAAAAGTTTTTATTTTTTCAGTCTTTTTTTAACCCTCAAATCAACCTCTATGCACTGCCAATCCTCGGCGTGTTGGCCGGCCACAATTGGGAGAAGATCAAGGATACGATAAAAAACAACTACGTTTCTATCATGAAGACGAGCTACTCAATCTGGCCTGCTGTACAACTGATCAACTTTTATTTTGTGCCCATTCTTTACCGGTAAGCAGTTGTTCATTTAAAAAGAAGCTTTAAATAAAACAAGCCTTTTTACAGAGCCGTTTTTGTCTCTACTTTTCTCCTTATCTGGAACATCTACTACACCTGGAAGCTAGGTGAAAAGGTGTCTCACTAGACTTAATAAAAATGTAGTAATAAAAGCCTTTTGAGATAATAAAAATGTTATATGTTCAAGATTTTATTGTGCAAAACATGCAGTGTGCGGTATCAAAATTGTATTGTCCGGATCTGCTGTACATGACTTCCCACTTTTATTACAGAGTAAAGTCGACATTGTGCTGTTTGAGCCAGTTGACAAACTTGCCGACGCGGGCGTACACGCCCGGGTAGTTGGGTCGAGCGCAACCGTAGCCCCAAGAAACAGCACCAGCCAGCTTACCGCCCACAATGACCGGGCCTAGATTTAAAAAATAAAAATGAATTTAGTTAAAACATTTTAATCAAAACACATTGCTACATACCTCCACTGTCACCTAAATTTGTAAATAAATACAGGAAAAAATTGATTAATGTTTTGATCAAACTAAACTGACTATCAGCGCCTATCAGCCCCTCCATACCTTGGCAAGCGTCCTTTCCGCCCTGGGGAACACCCGCGCAGAACATGGTATCGGTAATCATTCCGGCGCCGTAGTTGGCGTTGCACTGGTCACGCCCCACAATGGGCACGGTGACAATCTGCAGAGCCGAGGGGGAGGAGCCACCTTCCTTGAGGGCGCCCCATCCGGAGATGACGGCGTCAACGCCTGAGGCGGGGTCGCTGTCCTGGCCCACAACCGGTACCGAGTTGGCGTTCGTTTGACCGAGGGTCATCGGCGCCTCCAGTTCAATGGCGGCGATGTCATTGTCGATGGTGCTGCTGTCGTAGTTTTCGTGCTTGATGATGGTCTTCGACTTGATCACCTGACCGCCGCTGCCCTGAGTCAGGGTGTTGTAGCGGATGGAGATCTGGCTAACACTAGTGCTAGAAAAAGAAGAAAAAAGTTGATTAATTACTGAAATGGATTTCGGTCGCGCTTAAGTCAATATATAAAGCGGATTTTTTGCGTCCTCAAGCGCTCCTAAACCTCCAGTAGCTAGACGGTTTAATAAAATATTTATGCGTGAAGTAAAAAACCTTTTTATTTCTAAGCACTCATTGTTTAACTACGACTATTGATTTGCAATGGTTTGTGTTTGCTGAATAATTGATTAGGTTTACAAATGCCAATAGCAAAAAAATTGCTCTAAATCAGCAACACAAACTTACCCGTCGACGCAGTGCGCCGCAGTGACGATCCAGGTGGCGGAGACGATGGTGCCGCCGCAGAAGTGACGTCCACCGTACAACAGTGAAACCTGGTAAGGCGCCTGACCGGGGGTGGCCGCCACACCGCCCACAATTCGGCCCTCAGAAAGGGCGTCAAAGTCAACGCCAAAGTTGTTGTGCTTCTTTGAGGAGTTGAGCGGACCGGCGGCGACGAGGCCCACAGCGAGGAGCAGGGCAAAGGCAAACTTCATTTCAACGGTTTTTATTTAGTATGACCAGAGAAAAGAAGAGATGGTGAAAGTAGAATTGTCTAAAAACTGCTGTGACTTTTATATACTAGTTTTGTTGTAAGGTTTTTTAAATTTGACTGTGGATAACAAGTGGTGGTCACTAGTGAAATCATGACTTTGATAAGGACTGAGTGTCGTAAAGTAAAAGGAAAAACTAAAGTAAATTCATTCGAAACATAAGCAGTGTGCAGTGTTTAATACTTTTATTTTATGAGTAGGTAAGTTTTATAAACCTAGTTATCAGCTTGCAGTTTTCATTATAAAACACAGCTTTTGTTGTGCGTCATAAAGTAGTGCAGTGATGACAAACTCAATCCACAACAAAGATTACCGGCTCTGTTGACCTTCAAACACTAAAATGCTTTTGTTTTCAATGTTTTACAAAGTTGGCTTATTTTCATATGAATCAAAGCTATTTAACCGTCAGCACCAGTGGAATTACTCGTCCATCTTCTTCACAGTGTTTAGCTCGTTGTCGAGCAAACCAGCAATAGGCAAAACAGGCAACTAAACTACCAACAATTGGCCCCGCAATGGCAGCTACCAAGCAGAACCACAGGTGATTTCCAAAACTGAAAGTTACAATATAAAAAACTTAATAAATTATTGCAAAAAATAACGCGCGCACGTGCATACAAAGTAAAGCGGTGATAGCCAAACATTGTGAGCATCAATCGTGGTCCTAAATCACGAACTATACAAACAGTTAATTTTAATCAATTTAGTATTTTTAACTTATCTTACCTGGATTCAAAATTGCCCCAGTCGGATAAAAAAAAGCCACTATCAATCCACTGATAACCAGTCCCAGCGTCAACGCCTGTACAGCCAAAGTCGAACTGGTGAAAACTTGATCAGTGATGACCAGAACTGCTAGCAGCAGCAATCCAGTGGCCACTGCCTCGTTCAAAAAAGCAGACAAAAGGTTTCCAGCTGACCACGAGTAGCGACCTACAGGGACGAAAATGCCAACAACCACTTCCAGCAAGATAACATTTCCTCCTTTCAATGATTGGAAATAAATCAAGTAGACTAGCATAGCGCCTAGAAGAGCGCCCAGCAGCTGTCCAGCTAAATAAAGGGGCACTTTGCGCCAAGAAAGCTGACCAGTGGCGGCAAAACCAATCGTCACCGCCGGGTTCAAGTGGCCCCCAGAGATGGGCGCACTCAGATAGATTGAGATGATGGTGCCCACGCCAAAGGACAAAGCAGGAATCAGGATTCCGCCGACACCGTTTCCTGATAAAACACTGCCGGCACTGCCATTTAAGCCAAAAATCTGTGTTTTATATGCATGAAAAAAGATGAACACTGTCAGTATGTGCAAATATTGATAAAAATGAGTTCCTTTTAATTTGTTTTCAAAAGAGTGCTCCAAATGAAGCTAAAGCTAGTTTGTTGTTGTTGTTGTTAACACTTGATGACTTCATGTTACTCCACTTACAAGTAAAACTGCTGTTCCAAGAAATTCAGCAATAAATTCGTTGAGCATAAGGCTAATTTTGTAGCAGTCTATAAAAATAAGTAAAAAATAAATAAAATTTTGTATAATAAAATCAAGTTTTGAATATGAGCTCAAATTTTGAATATGAGCTCAAATTTTGAATATGAGCTCAAATTTTAAATAAATAAATTGTTATTCAAAATGTGTATGCGTTTTGTTGCTTTTTGCACAAAAATGTAAAAATTTTATGTTAGCATTTCTAGTGATTCATAGAAAATTGCAGTTTATTGGACTTTTCAGAATTGTACATGTAAATGTGAAATGAGAAAATTGTGCCAACAAGATTAAAAATTAGTAAACAGAAATCTACAAATAATATTTTTATTATTGCTAGATCACAAGGTATTAATTTGTTACAGTAAAATATTTTTTTGTACAATTGACTTTAATTAGAAACATTATAAAACATTTTATCACAAACGAAAAATCAATGCAATGCCAACAGTGTTAATCAAACACTACTTTGTATCTTAAACTCTGAAATTGAAGTAGAAGAAAAAAGGGTTCATGTTGTTAATTAAGTAACAACTTTTTGTCTTTTTCTCACGTACTAATAAAACACAGTGAAACAAAAAATCCAATAACAAGAAAACGTATGTTTATCAACTAAACTTTTTGTTCACTTCGCTTAGTCACGAGAAATGATGTATGTGTAGTATAAAATGTATACTTGTGCTCTTTTTTCAATATTTGATAACTGCCTTTAGCAAGTTCACATTGAGGTTGCTAAAACTCTAGTCAAAAAAATTAAAAAAAAATTAAAATTTTTTTTATAAATTTATGCAATCTAAATTGAGTAATAAATTTCTATCAGATTCACAAATAAAATGAATTAAACTAAAAATAAATGAAAAGTAATTTTTCAAATACAAACATTTTTACCAAANATCAGATTCACAAATAAAATGAATTAGACTAAAAATAAATGAAAAGTAATTTTTCAAATACAAACATTTTTACCAAACAAAAACTGATTTTTATTTTGACAAAAAACATCGGTCAAATAAATTTCTGCGGCCAATTGTGTGAGTCATTGAAAACGATTGCAAAGCACAAGACTGATAAGTTCTAGTGGTCAAAGTTCGTCTTGTTGACCTTTAGCAATTCTTCTTTTGAAAAAAGTGTACGATAAAGCCAATTTTTTGTCTACTTTGTGGCTTGACAAATAGGAAATAAGCAGTACTGCTTGATAAACCTACTTTACAACGCACTTTTTTTCTTTTGCATTTTTATCAACCTTAACTTGAGGACATCACAAGCAATTGATAAGAAGCGATCACCAAAACATAAGAGAGGCAATAAACAGCCTCAGGTTAGGCGAGGTTTACACTGATAAAGCAGTACCGCTCGCACAAATAAACTTGAAACCAAAATGCAAAAAACGATACATTTAAGAGGATGGATCTGGGAGATTCTACTCGAGTGCAGATCTGCAAATCAATTGTCACCATCTAACAAAATAATTTGCTAAAATAAACTTTTAGTTTTCAAAATTCTTCGGTTAAAACTGTAAATCTAAACAATGCAAAACAAAACTCGAATCTTCTTTTACTCCGCATCAGCGGCAGTCGCCATTGCCGCCATTCTGATGACCATCATCTCTCGGACAACCCCATTTCGAGAACTGGGCATGTCAATTGTAAGTGATTTTGATAGCAAAAGTGCATTACTATTTTACAAACTACTTTCTACCTATCAGCAAGAACTAATTGAGTACCGAGGCTTTCAATCGGAGACGCATTTTATCGAATCGGCGGACGGGTACCGCTTGCAAACAGTTCGAATCATCAATCCTCATTTTCAAAAAAGAAAACAACAGCAGCTGAAACCGGTGCTTCTCTACCACGGTTACCAGTGCTCCGGCTCAATGTGGATCATCGCCACCAGTGGAGTTCTTCAGGCAAACGGGACATACTTTGAAGAGAATGTCCACAGGGAAGACCCGGGTGCCACGGGGAACACACTGGGTTTTGTCCTCGCCGCTGCCGGTTACGACGTGTGGCTGGCCAACTCTCGAGGAAACATCTACTCCACAAATCACAGCCGCCTTGATCCAGCTGAGCAGGAGTTTTGGAATTTCTCCGCCGACGAGATTATCAAGTACGACATGCCGGCGCTGATCGACTACATTCGCAGCACGACTAAAAGCCCTACAGTGGGCTACATTGGTCACTCGCAGGGAAATCTGGTGATGTTTGGCCTGCTGGCCAGCCAGCCAAAGTACAATCAGCTAGTGAAGCCCTTCATTGGCATCTCTCCAGTGGGCTTCTTTGTGGAGTTTAACATCCCAGTTATAAAACATTTAGAAACGTACCGAAACTACCTCCCAAAACTGTTCCCTCGAAACATTCTCAGCGGAGCAACTCGCTGGACGGGCGGCTCCCGCTGGTGCACTCTGCCTCTGGTGAACGAGTACATCTGCTACCTGATCTACTATGGACTGATGGGCTCGCCCAAAGAGCAGGTGGATTTGGTGAGTAGGCATTTTCATTAGATTTTTGTTGGTGTTTACCTTTAGAAATACTAACTTATTGATCTATTTCTCTCGTTGTTGTTAGCAGAGACGACTGCCCATTTATGTGGACAATGTCATGCACGGCTCTTCCACTCGAAACTTTGTCCACCTGCTGCAACACCGAACCAGTCTGGTGTACTACGACTACGGCGATGCAGAGGTCAACCAAAGGCACTACAATCAAACCTATCCGCCGCATTACGACTACTCGGCAATCAGTAATCAACATATGGCGCTCATCTACTCAAAGAACGACTGGTTCCTTCACCTGGCTGATGTGCAACGTCTTAAAGATAGTTTGAAAGGTTTGTGATTAAAAGAGAAAAAAGTAATTAAAATTGGAGATAACTTTGAAATACCTGTTTTTGTAGTCAAACTGGCCGACGAATTTGTCGCTCCTGATCCCACCTGGAGTCACATGGAACTGATTTGGGGCAGGGACGTGGGCAAGGTGGTCAACAGCAAGATTCTGCAGATTCTGGGTCGATACTGATGATGGCTAGACATATGTTTTTTTATTTGTCTTTTTATTTGTACAAACGTTTTTATTAATTTTGTTTTTACTAGAAAGCCACTGTTGCTGTTATTTTGTGATATAAAGTTAATGATAGATTTTAACATTTTTACAATTGTTTGCTACTTTAGTTTGTTGTAAAAGTGCTTTTTATACTTTTAAAATACAAGTGAAAACATGAAATCATTTCAAGCGTAGCAAAAAAAGTTCAAAATAGCCATAAAAGACGACACCTGTCACAGCAAACAACAACAATAGCACAGACGGTCAAACGGGTGTTTGGCGGTTATTAAATTGCGGTGTTCAACTCTCTGTGTGTCATCCACACGCTAAAATGAGTATGCAATGACACCTGTAATTTGCTAAACCTGCACTCAAAAGTTTAATACTCGCAGTGTATATGCGCGGACAAAACGGTGTAAAAATAACCGCTAAATTACAATAAAGGCACACAGAGAACAATGTTGTTCATTGATTGACACGTTTAGCCGTATGTCTGTGAGAAACTAAACCACAAAAAAAATTTATCTGTCAACTCAATTTTTCTTGCCAAAAAACTCGATGATTTCAGTTTGCATTTGGTGAAGTCAGCAGGAACAGCGACAGCCGCAATGTTTTTACCATGAGCTCAAACTTGATCGCTCTGAAACACTTTCTACTTTTCACTCTTTTATTAGTTTTAAAAACTACTGCAGATGCTGCATCTGCTGAAGTCAACAATGAAACACAAAAAGAAAATCACCTCAACAACGACATGGAAAGCTACCTCGAGCAGATGGACACTCCAGAGGGAAAGTTTGCCGAGTTGACGGACGACGACGAATCACCACCACCTTCAACAACAACAACAACAACAACTCCATCTCCATCGTCTGATGATGGTACTGAAGATGAGGAAAACGATGATGATTACTTTGATAACTTCTCGTCAAACAACAATTTTACCCTTTTATCAAACAACTCCAGCAACTTAAATGCTTCTTCTCTGGAAAAATCTCCCTCGATGTACTCCACAATGTTCCTGCCGCCGCTTTTCGCTGCAGCTCCTTTCACCACCTTCTATCACCCGCCTCTAATTTCACTATTTCCACCCGTCGTTGACAATGTTGTTGTTCCAGGAGGAGGAGGAGGCTTTGTTCCCCCGCCGCCGCCTCTTTTATCCGCTCCTCCTGGAACAATTCCAGTGGGAGCAACTCCGGCAGCCACTCAGCCGTACTACTGGGGCCAGGTGTACGACCCCAAGTTTTACTACATTCTCGGCGATGAACCGAAGAAACCCAGGCGGCAACGGCGGAGAAAGTTTAAAAACAAACTTATGCAAAAGCTGTTTGAGAAGAAACCAAAACAAGAGGACGGCTTCATCTTCATTCCAATGGGCAACTCGATGATCTTCATTCGTGATTAGGTTTTTTTGTTGTTTTTTGTTTTGTTTTTATGAAAAAGTTTGCACTTAACTTTATTTTTCTGCATTGTACTCTGTACCGGTAAAGCACGTACAAAAAAGAAAAAGTTTTTAATTCGACCATTTTCTTATGCACACGTTTCCGCTGATGTGCAGCAATGGCTGTTGTGCCGGATCACCACTGAAGATAATTTTTACCGTTTACTGACTGGTTAATTTTTTAATAGTCGATCAGCCATTAATTGCCCTAATTGATTGCTTCCTTTTCTTTCTTTGCTGACTCACATCTTTTGTTGTTTACTTAAAAATAGATTAGCTACCGTGTGTATGTGCACCAATTATCTAATGGGCATTAAACTGTCTCTGTTTGGATTCATTGAATCAAAATTTGCTAATGACTGCAATGACAATATATCTTCCTTTCTCTCTTATTAATCGCTTTTCATTATTACCACAGGTGCTCCTAGTTTGCTAATTGCTGGTAAACTCAAACTAAAAGGAATACCGCTTTCTCTCACTTGAAAACAAAACATGCAAAGTCAATAACCGCTTGAATATATAAAACACTCCCAACCGAGTTGTCGTTTTTATTTAGTTTACTAGTTTGTTGTTACCCTGCTAAACTACGTTTTTGTATACTCAAGTATTAATCTAAAGTTTTGTTTTTTTGTGAATTGTGAACTTTAAAGTCGGTAAAAAATGTTCACTATAAATACAAAGGTGGTAACTGCGTTAGTGGTGTTGTGCAGTGTTCTCTTTGTGGTGCAGTGTTCCAAAAAGGACAAAATTATCATCGGCAACTTTGGCAGCAAGAAGAGGCATACTCAAATTAGTGAGTAATGTGAATGATTATTTTAAAATAAAATGCCAACTTTGTTTGTTTTTCAAATAATTCATTGCAGTTCCCATTCCAAGTAAGTTTAAAGCTTTTTTTGCTGCACTTTTTCTGATAAAAAAAATTAATTTCAGTCCCCATTCCGATGCCAATGCCTCAGCAACAAACCAAATACTACCACCACAATCAGATTGTGCCAATCTACGTTCCACAACACCATCAGCCTTATCACATTAACGTTCATGGTGGTCATGGAGGTTACGGTAATAGCTGATTGCATTTGAAATCTTAAAATACACTTTACAAACTCCTGACTTTTTGTCCAGGTGGAACAGGCGGTTACGGAGGATATGGTACTACTTTACTGCTTTAGTGCATGTTCAGTAAAATCCAAAATGCACTTTACTAAATCCACAGGCGGTGAAGGAGGGTATGGTGGACACGGCGGGTACGGCCACAGTGCTAGCACTCACAGTGTCAGCCATTATGGAGGTGGCGGAGGGTACACTTCCGGTGGTTACAGCTCTGGTGACAGTGGAAGCAGCGGCGGCAGTGGTGGTTTCGGTGGTGCTGGTGGCAGTGGTGGAAGTGGTGATCATGGTGGATACTCGGCAGGATACTGAAAAGCAGTGAATCAATGATAATCTTCAATTGTTCCCACTAATTTACCCCATTAATTGAGCACAATGCGTATTGAGTAGTGGAAGTCAATTTATGACTATCTCTATTTCAAAGCTTCACTACCATTTCTAGCAATCTCATTTGTTACATACTTTCATTTTTGTTGAATAATAATAAACTGTTTATACTTTTAATAAAATGGGTGATTTGGCCGTCACCATTTATTTTTATGTTTTGAGCAATTTAAAGTTTTTAACTAATAACAACTGGCTGATGATTAGAGGTATTTTTTATTAGCAATATTTATTTTTTTGTTGTTTTAAAATTTTCAACATTTTCTTTGCATTCTCAGAAAAAGAAACATTGTTGCTTTTTCAAAAGTGATTAGTATTTTGTTTTCACCGTTTAAATTGCCATCGGCTAACAATCTAGTTTTTATGAAAGGTGAACGGCAGAACAGAAAAAATACATACTGCTAAAAACCTGTTGTTGCACACTGCTTAAAACAAGGTAACATTCTGTGAAGGAGATTGCTTGAACAACAGATTTTTTTTCTTAAACAGTGAAACAGAAAGTGCTCACTTTTTTCATTGCCACCACCACCACATCAACAACACTAAAAGTGTAGAATTTTCGCTAACGTTGACCAAATTATTGTCATCATCATGAGCACTACCATCACCAGTTTCTTTGTTTCCGAACTTCAATTTCTTTTTGGCCATTTTCAACGTGCTGCTGTGTTTTTAGTTGCCACTTTTCCAATATCTTCCCTGTTGCTGCTACTTGCTGCCTATGCACTGTTCCGCTTTGTCACCTGCACAAGCATTGTGGTACGAGTATAGCTTAGCTGTTTATAATGTTTACCAGTTTTCTAATAATCTTTTTTTGTTTACCTCAATTAGCACTTTTACCCAGCCGAGGTGGCCGATGAGCTGAGGGTGATGTCTAGAGACGATGAATTATCTAGCCAAAGTGCATTCAAACCGCCACTACCACTGCCGGACGGTTGGATACCCATTCTCGAGTCATCCGCCCTAAAACTCAATCAAGTACAATCGGTAGTCGCCCTTGGGCGTGAGTTGGCCGTCGTCAGAGGCGGTACCGGGACGGTCACAGTCCTCGACGCCTTTTGCCCTCACCTGGGCGCCAATCTTGGGGTAGGCGGAGTGGTTCACCAGGAAAATGAAATGCAAAGTGAAAAGAGTATCGACTGCATACGCTGTCCCTTTCACCACTGGTCCTTTCGCCTCACCGACGGCCGTTGCAGTCACATTCCCTACGCTGAAGCGCCCGTCGACACTGGCGTCCGCTTGTGGCCTGCCTTTGAAGTGAACAACTTCATCTTTGTGTGGCATTGCCAGACTAGCAAAAACAGACAAAATAGTGATGAGCAGCGGCAATTTCTAGACCAGTGGAAACCTGAAGCTCTTCCAAGTTTGGCAAGCAAACAACTTTCCCTCATCGGCCGCCTCGAGTACACTGTCAACTGTCATGCTCAAGAAATGGTGGAAAATATCGCCGATGTGGCCCACTTTCCCGCCCTTCACGGAGCGCCATTGTCTGTGGGCGCCGATCTGGGGGCGGTCACAGCTGCTGATAAGGAGCGGAGAGGACAGGCCACAGAGATGATCACCTTCGAGGTTACTCAGCCTTGGACGCAGTCTCCCTCGCCAAACGGTCACTGCGCCAGCACTCAGATGGGCGTCACCTTTAGTCTGTTCGGTTGGACGCTGTACCGCAGCACGCTGACCATCAACGGTTCGGGCCCCTCTTACCTAGTGTCTACGCTGAAAGCCTCTCTTTTAGGCGGTCTTTTTACCGTACAAAGCGCCATACTGGATCACTTTACACCGGTGGGCACAATGAAGACGCATCGAGTCAGTCATGTGTACTCACAAAAGGGGCTCATTGGATATCTGATGGGCAAGATTACCTTCTTTGCTGCTCATGAAATGGTAAGCTTTGTTTTAACTTTTTGAAAACTTTTTTAACTGATTTTTATTTTCTTGGTAGTTCAAACGAGACATCTTTGTTTGGAATCGCAAGGCGTACGTGCGCCGACCACCGGCTACAAAGGAAGAGAAATCATTGGTCAAGTTTCGCCGCTACTATTCACAGTTTTATGCGTCCTCTAAAGGTGTCGTTGATTGGTAAAACAACAAAAAACAGACGTATTTATTAAAAAAAATTACAAAGTAAAAAAGTAGAAAAAAATGTATTTGAAAATATCACCACTACTCAGCTTTCAGTTCAGCAGCGACTGAACTACTGTTAATTTTGCTTTTGAGGCTGTTTCTGCTGCTGTTGTACGTTTGCAGGTAGAAACGGGTAAAAAGAATGATGTACAAAATCGTCTGGACGGCGTAGTTCACTACAAAGAAAGCCGAATAGCCCTCGTTGAAGGCGACAAAGTAGGCCCAGTGGCAGCCGAGAAGGCCAAACTGAACGATCTGCAGAATGGTGATGTACTTTTTCCACCAAAGGTATGGTCGTACGGCCGGTCCCAGTGCCGCCAAACCGTAGTAACTGTTGATAAGTAATGGGTGAATTTGATAATTCAACAAAAAATATTCCAAAAAGTTCACAATACTTACCCATACATGAGAATGTGCAAAAATGAGTTCATCAACATAAAAGGCGTCATGATATGAAAGAGGCCACTCAGACGGAAGCCAATCCATCCAAAAAAGGGCACACTAAAGTAGTTTAGTATTTTTAAATTTTGATACTCAAAAAATTTACCTGAAATGATGATAACAATGAAGTAGCGTCACCTGTGACTCCTTTTTCCGCAGCACAAAGAAAACAGTGTCCAAAAGGTCGATGATTTTGGTGTAACCGTACAACATGTTTAGATTAATAATCTGCAAGTCCCTTTCTGAGGTTTGGTCAAAAGGGTGAAAGGTGACGTTCAGTATGCGGTCAATCGTCTCCCGGTAATTGTAAACCAGCGTAAAGAAGAAATAGCCATTGAGGAGGCACATGGTGAAGTTGTAGACGAGCATGACGCCCTTCAGCGAGTA